GGGGCAGTTTCCCCGCTCGTGCTTTTGCCCTTTTCCGCTACCTTGGACATGTTTGCATTCCTCGAGCAGTCTTTTGCGATCTCCACTCCGAGGTATGTTTACTGGTCCACTACTGCAATCTCCTCGATCCCCCACTTCCATCTATGTTCTACTGGTTCCTCCTTGTTCTCGTTGCATACCATGACGGCACTCTTCTGAACGTTGGCAGACAATCTCCACTTATCAGTAAACTTCTTCGCCGCGTCAATTTGCAGTTGCAGTCCCTCAGGGGTGTCCGACATACCGACAAAATCATCCGCAAACAGCATTCCTGAAACCGACGTTTCCGTGTCCCCTACTTTTACTCCCTTCCGGACTGCCTCTACGACTTCCAACAGATCGTTGATGAACACCTGGAACAATGTTGGGGACAGCGTGCAACCTTGTGGGACCCCCTGCTCAATGTCGAAGAATTTTGACAGTTCTCCGTTTAGCATGACCGCACTTTTCGTACATTCTGTCATTTTGTTCAGCAATCTCCACATTTTCCCAACCGGTCGCCCCGATGGTCTAGTAGTATCCTCGTAATCCGCTAGTCGCAGAGGTCGTGAGTTCGAATCCCCATGGGGTGAAAAAAATACGAAATTTGCGGGTGAAAGCGGAGTATAGCTAAAAAGCTCTCGTGAGTACCAAACTTCGACGTTAGCACCGTTCACGAGGGAAAGGAACGGCTGGACCCTTCTCGCGATAAAAATAAAATTCAGCACGCACCGCAGGAGGAAGGTGAGGCATGAAAAGAAAAAAAAGAAGAAAAAAGCCCTGGTGTTTATTTTACCCCCTCCTGTGTGACCCTGGGTTGTTGTAGTTGTACGAAAAAGTACGCTGAAAAGTGTAGTACTCTACATACGCTGAAAAGTGTAGTACACGTCTCACCACGAAAAATGGGGGGACTGTCGCCATAATGAAAAGGACGAAAACACACACACACACACATGTTCCCCTTAATCCCGTACTTGGACAGTTGTTTCCACAGCCCATTTCTCCATACGGTGTCGTATGCCTTTTTCACGTCCAGGAGGAAGCAGTACGTCGGCTTTCCCGCCCTCTTTCTACCTTGGATGATTCTCCCTACGGTGAATGCGTGGTCTACGCACCCCCTCGTTTTTCGGAAACCTGCCTGGCCCTCACTTATGTTCCTTGTCCAATACTCCCACTATCCTATCGTTCAGCAGCTTACAGAACACTTTTCCTACTGTGTTCAACAGTGTGATCCCCCTGTAGTTTCCTGGGTCAGTCTTGTCTCCTTTCTTGAACAAGTTCACAACCACTCCTTCCCTCCATCTACTTGGCGTATACTCGTTTTTCCACACCCAATTGTACAGCAGTACCATCAGCTGGATCATCCGTTCCTCCCAAACTTAATGAACTCGTTGACTATCT